CGTCTGTGCGCAAATTAGGTGAGATTCTGCGGGATTCCCCCCCCACCCCCCCCCCCCCCCAAAGAGCGGCTCCTAAACAAAACGAAGCGAACTCATTGATTTCATGCTTGAACTAAACTGAAGTCGGGCCCCCAGATACTTCACCACTTTGTTTCATACAGTTACTGCTTTACACAGCGATACCAAGCGTGTGCGAACAGCGGTAAATCTCTAGACTTGTGCTCTGGAAGTGCTTGGTTCGAATCTCTGCCGAGACACCGGCTATTATGATTCTCAGTCCACCCAGCCAGATGCCGGTATAGTGCCTTGATTTGGCCACGAACGTTTCCTTCCGAATCCTTCCCGATTCATCGTTATTCTGTCATATTTTTCGACGCTCTAGTGTAACAGCCCATAGCGTCATAGGATAACCACTTTATACTGTCAAGAAATTGTACGATATATCGATACTTGTTATCCTTATCGACAACGAAAACCTTTCCCCTATGTAACACCGTGTCTGTAAAATGACACCGGTAACTTGATCACCGCAATTATATTTGGGAGATGGGGGGGGGGGGGGNAGTACTCCCGGCTCTGTGCGAATTTTCTCCCCAGTGCTCTCGTTCCCAAACGCCAAAAGCCTTAACTATTTGAAGCCTTAAGTCAGAGTCAGGATTAATTTAAGCTTGACTGTTTACCTCAAAACAGTTCGTCTTGGCGACAAGCCCCTCGAGACTCACGATCAGTAATTTTATATTCCAACTGAACACTTGCGGTTATAATCCTTATGTAACGTCCACTCTGACGAGAGGATGGGTCTGTAGTTTACAATTGCTGCTGGTCCTCGACAGCGCAGTCGTTCTCAGGTCCGAATACCACGGGGCTCATGACCACATTTTACTATCTCAGATTCGAGATTCCCCCAACCTGGAGGGCCATGTCCCCGTATTTATATCCCCCAGCTGAAGCCTTGAATTTAATCTAATATGCATTTAAATATACAAATCCTACCTCACAGATAATACAGAGTGTCGCCATTACAAAGACCAGCCGGTTAATGTTGCTTATTGTGTCATGCGAAATGAATAATTACATTCTGTGGGCAAAATACCGATTCTCGTATTGTTAAAGCAGGCGGTACATATAGGTATTTGTGTTGTTTAGAGTGCAAAGATGTATTTGTCTCTACAAATAAACCTGCTAAGTGTGATGGCTGCTACTTTATCTTTACTGCTTTGTTTATTTAACGACGCAGTAAACTGAATGTGTTCGTAATATAAAATGATAATTTGCAGGACGATCGAGCTGCTGTTCAGTGTGTGAGGGCATCCTTCCAAGTTTCTTCTCAGTCACTATGGCGCCGGACCGTGCCGAGGGGCGCCGGTCCGGGCAACAGCGCCGAGCCGCTCCGCGCCGTGTCGCAGTTGGAGCGGAGACGCCAGACGAAGCAAACCGTAGCTATGTGACGCGAAATGCCCGCCACTTCAGCCACTTCCAGCCCGGGACCGTCCGCCACAACGGCGGGGCCCAGGCCTGGGGGCGGTGCCGCCCCAGGCGGCAGTGGGAAGGGCCTCAAATCGCAGGTGAAGCCGTTCACACGAGAGTCCCTGGAACGCATGGAAAACAAGACGGTGCAGTTGGTGAAGGAATATGGGTTCCAGCCGCGCAGGAAACTCAGTGTGGAGGACGGCTCCGTGCTTCCCGGCAAGTTCGAGCCTTTCCCCAGCCGCTTGTATGGGCGCCCCCTCGAGGAGATCGACAACTTCATCTACGATGAGGTAGGGAACTCATGCGTCCACATGTGTCACAGAATTTGTTTGTTTGGCGGCGTTCCAGACTGCATGGTGTTGCATGGCATGATGAGAGTGATCTGAGGTACTGTCCAGTGGGACTGAAGATAAGGGCGGAAAATCTGACGGGACAAGTTGGCTCAACTTCTCGGAAAAAAAATCAGGTTCCTAAGTTTTAGGCATTTCTCGCCATCTCGTATATACATTTTGTTCCTCATGTATCTTTCCTTCTCTGCCTGGTGTTATTTAGTAAAGTATTATTATTATTATTATTATTATTCGTTTAGATGTGCGAATCATAACATGACATCATTTCCCCGCTGCTAGTGGTATTCCTAATTCGAATGACAGAATAAAGGACAAGTTTTTGACGGTTGGATCTGAGGCTGTCGCGGCGGTTGCTATGAAGATGACGGCTTCTGGGTTTTAGTGCTCTGTAGTTCGAAGAGAACATGACGTTTGGGAGGAACATACATCTTCGTCTTCAACTGAGAATGCTTCTGCTAGTTTCTTGCCTGGTTTACTCTTCAACCCTGAAGATGGAGGTGACATTTTCCTCCGAAACGACTTGTTGCAACCCAGAAGACTGTACTGTTCAGTTTTTCGAGGAGTTCCATAGAAAGTAACAGGATGATAGTGTACTCTGTGAACTGCAGGAGTTCTGGAACCGCCACTCCGAGCATTTCAGCTGTGTTTTAAGGCCCACGGTGTGATATTAATTTTCTAAGAATCCTATGTTTTGTGTCCATTCCGATATACGGCCACGTCCTTGTATGTTACGTTGCGTCGCAGTGTTCTGTTATACAGAAACGTGGGGCGACAGATTGTTCAGTGAACTCCCACTTCCAAAGACAGGAACTGCTTGTTCAAAGAGCTCTGAATTTTTACTGACGAAACTAATGTGTAATGATTGGACACTGATTAACAAGGAACATAGTAAAGAAGTTCTAAAATGTTGTGACGGTGGTATATAAAACTTATCCCTGTAACAGGCCGTGGAGGTCCATAGGGTTATGAGAGGTCGAGGCTTCCACATTTTCTAGACAGTCGGCTCACAGATGGCGGTGTCAGCCTTACGCGCTGGCCACCCGCCCTTTACCCCCAGGAAGCCTCCTGGTACTCATTTCTGTTGGAGGCTGAGTCGACCCCAGGGTCAGAGAGTCAAAGAGAACGAGATGGGCAGGGCATGTAGTACGAATGAGGAGAAGAAGAATGCATATATGATATTAGTGGGAGAGCCAGAAGGAAAGAAGCCACCAGGAAGACCCAGGCGTAGGTGCGGGTGGTTTGGACTGGTATCGTCTGGCTCTGGAGAGCTCTTGTGAACACGATAATGTATATATAGGATACTGGTGGGAGATCCAGGAGGAAAGAAGCCACCAGGAAGACCCAGGCGTAGGTGTGGGTGGTTTGGACTGGTATCGTCTGGCTCTGGAGAGCTCTTGTGAACACGATAATGAATATATAGGATATTGGTGGGAGATCCAGGAGGAAAGAGACCATCAGGAAGACTAAGACGTGGGTGGGCGGACAATATTAAAATGGATCTTAGAGATATAGGACTGGGTGATATGAACTGGAGAGGGATGTTGTGATCACGGTAATGAACCTTCGGGTTCCATAAAATGTTGGGAAGTTCTTGAGGGACTCAGCGACTGGCGGCTTCTCAAGAAGGGCCCAACTCCATGGAGTTAGTCAGAAGCTCGGACTGGAAAGCAAAACAGAGCAAATTATCGATTTCAGGCTGGCTGCATATGTCAAAGGATGATGCGGACGTAGAGGAGGAATCAGTAAGTAGGCGAATGGAAAGCACAAACAAATAAATAACTAAACAAGTTCATTCCGACGCAGAAACCTCGAATTTCAGGGAAACAGAATGCAATCAGAACACGATAAGAAACAGACTGGGGAAATTCCTTCACGACGCAGCCAGTGCAGCATCGGGCAGGAACTGGAAGGGAGAGATCGTGGCTTAATGGAGGCACTTCCCGAAATTCACCTAGATTCGAACCGAGAATCTCCCAAATACAAACCTATAGCCTTACTAGTATTGTGGCCTGCTTGGCTGAACGTGGCGGTTTAGTCATTGGCACACCAGTTTCATATTTGAGAGGTCCCGAGTTCGGTTCTCTGCCCAAAAGCAGGTCATCGTGCTTGGAACTTAAGGTGCATTTTTCAGTAGTACATTGAACTAGGCCGTTGTCACTCACTTTCTAATTCATAATTCACAGTCTTTCCCCCACATCGACATAAGGCCAGTTCGAATTCACGGCGTCATTCATTGCGAAACTTTTTTTTTTTTCGATTTCTGTGTGAAGATTCTTGATAGTTCGTACGGAATACTGATAATTAAAATAACTTATGTTAATGTAGAGGCATGCGATAGTGTAGTTGGTTGAGGCACTTGTACGCAATTCCCTGCCTTGGAAGAATCGAGTTTCAGGTTTCATGGCAGGCTAGGTGTACCCTCAGGGTGTAGAGGCAATGCCCCCTGAAACACTGGTACCCTCCTGTATGGTGTCACAATCTGAGGCAACCCTGTTGCGAGATGTACAGTGGCAGACGAGAAAACAAAAGGCTCGGTCCAGAAGCTTTATTCTTCTGTTCTGTCGAAAACGTAAAAATTAGATTATACAAAACTATAACTTTGTCTGTGGTTCTGTATTGGTGTGAAACTTAGTCTCTGATATGAAGGGAGGAACATAGACTGAGGGTGAAGAAAGCAGTCTTCTGGGATGTGACACCGTGTAGATATGGTGTTAACCGAAGTTTCGGAGGATATGTTCCTCCGAAACGTCGGTTGACACCACATCTACACGGTGCCACATCCCAGAAGACTGCTTTCTTCATAGTCACCGCTGTGAAAACCTCAGATCTTACATAGACTGAGGGTGTTTGAGAACAGGGGCTGAGGAGAATATTTGGACCGAAGAGAGATGAAATGACAGGAGGTTGGAGAAAACTGCATAATGAGGAGCTTCATAACTTGTACGCTTCTCCAAGTATAGTTAGAATGATCAAGTCAAGGAGGGTGAGATTGGCAGGGCATGTAGCACGAATAGTGGGGAGGAAAAATGCATATAAGATATTGGTGGGAAATCCGGAAGGAAGGAGACCACTGGGAAGACCAAGGCGTAAGTGGGTGGACAGTATTAAAATGGATGTGAGAGAGATGAGATGGGATGCTATAGATTGGATTGATCTGGCTCAGGATAGAGACCAGTGGAGAGCTCTTGTGAGCACGGTAATGAACCTTCTGGTTCCATAAAATGCTGGGAAGTTCTTGAGTAGCTGCAGAATTGGCGGCTCCTCCAGTGAGTGAGAGTGATACGAAGCATAATGGAAAGAACATGTTAACGGGGTAAACTCTGACAGAATTCCTAAAGAATTTTTAAAGTATCAGCCAGATGGAAAACGAAATGTGGGAGGACCTCTGAAACGATGGAAGGATTATGTTCTGAAATATCCGTAACAGTTTTTAATAGCCCTGATACTGGATGAGATGATGATTATGATGAAACGTAACCTGGACACAGAACATCATTTCAGTATAACATTTATTCCGGTGGGGTGTGGGGTAGATGTGCACCCCCGTGGCATTTTATAAGGAATCCAAATTAGAAGAGAGAACATGTAGCTCTTGTACACAGCTTGTGGCACCATCTGTTTCCATATGGAGGTTCGCAACTCTAGGGCGATGCGCAAGCAAATTTAATGGCTGCCTTCTCCCGGGAAGAATTGTGGCGGCTCAGTTTTATTTAGAAGAACAGTATCGGCATGTCCATGTACTGCACGCCCCAGGGTGTCACGTCTTGTGTAGCTAACCTCACGGAGTAAGTTTGAACTTCCCTCAGTCAGAAGCGCGTTGAGAATACTATGATGACATAAAAGTCTGCCGCCCCAAATGGAAAGACAGCTTTCTAATCCCCGCAGTATGTGGAGTGCGCCTGAATAAAACCCAGTTGACCGCTAGTTCGCCACTGAATTGAATCCTCTGATGTGGAAGTTCTTTTGAGGAAGTCAGTGTTAGTTGGACCGATGCTTTTCTGAAGATTGTAGCAAAGGATATGGCTTAAGGAATAGATGTACTCGTATATCCTTATTTCTCCTTTTTTATTTTTCATGCTCTCCTCTTGTCTTCTTTTCCTTCTCGTTTATTTCTCCTTATCTCTTCTCCTCCCCCGTATGTCTTTCTTCCTTTTCATCTCCTCCCTTTTCTCTGGCTTTTCTTCTCTGTTCTTCTGGTACTTATTCTTTCCCTTTTTAATTCCTCCTCCTATCTCTCCTTCTTAATGTTTTCCTTTGCCATCTTCTCCGCTATCTGGTTCGTCACTTACCCCGAATTTCTTCGTTTTCAGCTTCTCTTTACCTTCACATCTTCCTCTCACTCCTCCTCCACGTAATCCTTACTCTTTCCCCTCTCCTTTCTTTCTTCAGGACAACTCGTTTTGCACTTCGTCCTTCGACCGGCATTCTAAAAGACAAGAGAACACCGCGTCTGGTGAAGAGCAGGTGTCTCCCTCCCTCACCCGAGGATGAAAACAGACCCAGTTGCCGGAACGTTGCCTCCTCTTGTGTTTTCCAAAATACCGGACGAGGGGTCGGGATGGCTCAATCGGTAAAGCGACGGGCTACGGGCTGGACGACCGAAGTTCGAATCCCGGGTCGGGCAAGATGTTTCTCTTCTCCATAGCGTCCTTACCTTCTCTGTGGCCCACCCAGCCTCCTATCCTATGGGTACAGGGGTTAGGTTCCCTGGGATTAAAGCCGCCGGCGCGTGAAGCTGACCATTCACCTTCATCTAATGTCGAGGTAGAGATGGTGGAGTTATACCTCCACTAATCCACAGGTCTTCGTGTCATAGTAAAACACATAAACATATTTACTTTACCGGCAGATGGACAAAGTGCAAAACCACAAGAATGCCGAGTGTTACAGATCATCGCCAGAATCTTCGTTCCTTCCCTCCCTCCTTCCTTCCTTCCCTC